CCGTATACACTACTACGTACACTACACTACTACTCTCACTACACACACACACACACACACACACACACACACACACACACACACACACACACACACACACACACACACACACACACACACACACACACACACACACACACACACACACACACACACACACACACACACACACACACATACATCTTACACAGAGAGTGATGGTGAGGGGTGTGAGGTTTGGAGGAAGCAGACAGAAGGCCAGATGAAGGTAGTTGAGGAAGCCATCTTCCAAGTTGCAGTCTGGAGTGTTCTTCACAAACGCACAACGGTCTGCAGCACTGACGTTCATCACAAGGTCACACTGTACACACAGAGAGAAAGACACATATCAGTTCACCTACTTAGAGAATTAATTATACAATTATACAGCCGCCATCTCCCATCATTATAGGGCTTAATAAATATGATAATAAATAATTCCAAGTATTGATACAAGACATCACAAGAATAATGTTTTATAATAATTGATATTGCTGTGTTAAGCATCAAGTACACACACTAGACACTACATTTGGCAGCTTTGCAATGTTTTGCCAAGAGAAAAAAGAGACCATCCCCTTGCTGTGATTTGATCAAACATAAAAAGTATGTAAGAATAATATCAACTGAGACCAGGCACTAAGGAGGACATAGATAATGTTCCAGCAAATGAACCGCTTGAAGAAAAAGGAACTTCATTGCATTGTCGCAAAGAATATGTATAGAAATGAAATAATGATATAAAGAACAAGCAGCCCAGCTACATCCAGGGCCTAATAATACCCAGAGGTAATATAGAAAGGTGACATTTACAAACATGATTAACGAAGAATAATAAGGAGAACACATTAACAATATTTAAGAGATCAATACAACACCACCACTAACTACAACCTCAGTGTTAAACATGGAGTTAATGTAACACCTTTTTGAAACCGGCCAAAGCTTCTTGTTGGATATGAGACAAGATGTTGTTGCGGGTTTCATTAGATTATATAACTGTTCCTAACAAAGTGTCAAGGGTGCCAGGTAGTGTGTAGAAAGATGTTTCTATATGCTGTCTGTTACTGATCATGTGACAACCTGTACGCTTCAATCAAACTATGCTGTTACAATTGGCACTGGCAGTAAAACCTGATCATCTGGTAGTTGGGTAGTCACATTCACAAGAAGAAATGGACTGGCACTGAACCAAATATTGCACAGTTTCACTTACAGTCTCCACTATGGCGCCACTATTAAAGATATTTTAAAAAGGCAGGCAATCAAAACTAAATGTGTTTTTATCCAGATTTCCTTTATATCCTTTAATGTATTTACTGTAACACGTGTGGCGCATTGGACTAGTGCGTTGGTGTTCGGATCAGGTGGGCACAGGTTCAAACCCCACTGCAGTCAGCATGTCGTTGTGTCCCTGGGCAAGACACTTCACCCCAAATTGCTCCTGTGGGGATTGTCGACAGTATTGAGTAAGCTATGTTTGTTAATCTGTGAAACCCACTGAGACAAAGGTGTGTTTTGATATTGGGCTGTACAAATAAAATAAACTTTGATTTGATATCCTGTTTGATACACATATATTTTCTTGAATCAAATAAAAAGATCATTAGGTATTATTCTGACCACACCGACCTCATCGTTGTTGCTTTGGTACATCATGGTTAGTGTGGTGTTTAAAGCCCGCAGGGCTGATCCGACTCCACGCTGGTTCCGGGGGCCATGGGAGCGCGAGGTCACCTGTTGATGATCCGATAGCACGAGCAGCAGGAGTGACAGGTAAACAGAGCGAGACATCATTCACTTTACCCAGGAGTCGCGTCCATTCTGTTGGAGAGGACTGTGCTGGGTTGTGTTGCTCTTACAACCTTTCAGTTTAAATAATAACCGGTAAAATAAAACGGCTTCTGTTTTATCCACACGTCAATTGATTATTCTGTAGTTTTTTTTATTAAAGTCTCTTACAGAGACTATCCGCTCAGATTCAATGTCCGCGTACACTGTGTACACTGTCTGTGGAAACAGCTCTGGCTCTAACCCCACCCACTGTTTTTCCAGCCAGACGTGTGGCGCCTTCAAGGACTGCTCGTAAAGTCAGAACTCGTATTTCATTCTACATTATGTTCTTGTTTATCTTATTCCATTGACATGTATATAGACTCCTGCATTTACTTGTTCACTTACAATTTTAGCCCATTATATTTTGGACAGGTATAAGGTTTAATTCCTCTGATCATTGGTCTTACAAAAATAATCTTGCACTATTTTATTCTACTCTTCTTTTCTTGCACTATTTTATGTTTTTTAAATTTGTAAAAGAAATGTAATGTCTATAATATATTATGTTGCATTGTGGAGGAGCCTCGGACTTTATATTTCCATTGCCATATCTACACTGTAGCTACTTTGCATGACAATAAAGCCTTTGAGCCTTGGATCAATATATAAAATATATATATATATATATAAAATGTATTCTAAGAATATAACATTCTACAATTAAAATACATTATTCATCGAGAGTATATGTTTAACGGGACCTTTATTTATGTATTTCCAAAAATACGTTTCCTGTCCTACATCAATAGTAGGCATTATGTTAGCATGCGTATGCACCTTTTTTTATACAATAGAGTTTGGCACAATGAAACACAATGATACAGTAAACATACCAAATAATTAACTTTTTTACAATTTAAAATAGTTGCCTGATGTATTTGATTGTTCAAAACTACAAATTGAACATATTTATCATCGTTCTGGAGATCACACTTGCAGTTTTTCCAACACTTTGAAAGCAGCATGTTTGTTGAATTTAAACTCCCTCCTGCTCTGACGCTTCTGACCCGTGCTCCAGTTCGGTGTTTCAACCTTTTTTCATAAGGGACCCATTTTTTTTACCATTTAGTAAACTGATGACTAATGGCATATTTTACGGATATTTAATATTGAGCTCAATGCATAACATAACAAACTCTACAGAATAACTGATAAACTGTAAAAGCTACATAAGCAGTGAGTGCATTAACAGCAGGAAGTTATGCAAGCAGACAGGGATTGTGGTTTAAACAGAGTTCGTGAATGTGATCGTGAAAAGCCCAGGGTCATGTTCAACTCATCCACTTCACAATTACATAGCATCCAGGCCTCCCAAAAAGATGTAAACTGCAAATGTTGTACATTTATATTTCACATTTATTACAAACAAAAAATATATATTTCAGATACTAAACAGTAAATATCTAAAATACCCAAATCCCATTACAAAGGATCACATGGAATTAGAAACTCAATTTACTGTTTGATTGCCGTGCTGCCGTACAGAAGTGGGTTTTAGATCTTTAAAAAAAAAAAACATAAAACATGTTCTAAATACAATAAATCTGGGATACAGTAAATTACTAATTAATCAGAGTGAGTTTATCCATTATCAGTGAACGTTCAGCCTTGTGTCGGCCGGTAATACACTAGTGCAGCATCCAGTGGTGCCGTGCTGGGATCATAGCAGCCTCTCGCCTGCTGAGTCGACACAGGACACAAGTCCTGCTCACACCACCTGAGGAAGGGAAATAGAAATGGTGTTGTATTTGTTTTTTTATTAAACCTGAAGTAACTGTAAATGTAAATTTGATTAATGTTTTTTTTACCTGAGAGCTGAATAGGTGTCAGATGAAGAAGCTTCTTTCCAAGATGCATGGTCAATGAGAAGGGCACCTGTTAACGTTTAAAACTTTAAAATGTTACCTATTTAGGTACCATACCATCCTTTTAGCGTAACAGAGAAGATTCTAATGTATAATTAACCGGGGAACCAGTAAACAGAACTGAAGTCAATTGACCATTTCACACCATACTTCCTGATAACAATTGTCTTTGTATTATTAAAATGACCAAAAGTCAATATTATAATGACTTTGACTTTCTGAGAATAACTACACATATTTAATATTGATGCATAATGACTAATGTGGGATTATTATTCTAACTACAAAGGTAATGGTACCTACCTGTGTAGATGCGAGCGAGGCTAAAAGCCAGGTCTCTGGCTGCCAGTTCCAGGTAGCCGGGTTCTCTAGTAGCTGCAACCTGAACAAAGTCCTTCAGTTCAGAGAGAGCAGCGTCCACTGCTGTCACCGCCGGGCTCAAGGAGGAAACACTCGATGCTCCTGCAAGCAGGGACTACAAGGAGAAGAAAACAAGATCAAATTCCTGTTCAAGTCTGTCACAGATGAGTTACTGAACTTGTTTAATGGGCTGTTTCCTGAACCCTTACCTTGGCGTGGGTGAAGAAAGCGTGAAGAACCATTCCTGAGCTACGAGCCACGCAGCGCAGCACGTCCAGAGACAGGACATTTGTGGTACCTTCCCATATACTCAACACCTGAGAAAAAAGGAGAGAATCTTTTTAATATTATGCCTTTTTTTCCAGAATCAATCGTTTTGTTAATACAATGGTGGACAATTTTAAAACATTTCTATGCAAGTTTCTCATAGTCAAAGATGTTCATAAATGTCTGGTTTTTAACCCCAAAGATACACATTTTTTAAATAATATAACACTCATAACAAAAAACAGCATTTTCTGCTATGATTGCATGAAAACCTCCTTTAACTATTTATTGATTAGTGGACCTATCAGTGAGGCTCTAGTTGACCTCACCTGTGCATCGCGGAGTAGTCCAGGCAGCCCGGTATCCTCAATGTAGCCCTGTCCACCGAAGCTTTCCAAACCCTCCGACACCACAGCCACCGCCTGAGACAAGGCAAAGACAGTAAGGGTTGCTCTCAAAAGGCGAGATTACTCACAGATAACAAGATAACAGACTGAACAGTTCGCTCACCTGCTTCCCAGTGTACAGTTTGACCACAGGAGTGAGCAGACGCAGCAGATGTGCATCGAGCTCACTTGCCACGCCGCTCTCCTCTCGGCCCAGCAGACGACACACATCCATCACCAGAAGGAACGCTCCACGGGTCTCCACCTGTCCACAGCCGGAGCAAACATGTGTGTGGTATGATGGGAGAGTTTGTATACAGTGTGTCATTAGTTTACCATCAGCCGACCCAGCTCACCTCCATCCTGGCGAGAGTCTGCATGTGTAGCGGGTGATCTTTGAGAAGCTTTCCAAAGGCAGTGCGGCGAGTGGCATAGTCCCCAGCTAACTGGACGACCCTGTGAACACACACACACACACACACACACACACACACACACACACACACACACACACACACACACACACACACACACACACACACACACACACCTATAAATAATAAGCTTTCTATTTTTGTAGGAATCAGCGCAGGATGCAGTGCAGTATTACGAGTCTTGCCTCCTCATTGCGGCTGCTGCAGAGATGCTGTTGTGTATCCTGGTTATCGTCAGCATGTTAGCTATGGAGGCCACACCTCTCCCTTCCTCTGAGATCTGTATTTTTAGAGAGGAAATAAAGGAATCAAGTTCTTTGACATTTATTTAGTCTAAAAAATTAAATCAGCAGGGTTTGTCTTAACAGAGGAGCGAACGAGAAGATGGAGAGACCCTGTGCTGTTGGCAGAAAAGCCTTAAACTCTGAACGTATAACAATACAATATATTTGAATATGCTGTATTTCTTGCTTTTCCCTGATGCCCTGAATATGTCTCTAAATGAGTGGCTTGTAATAGGCTCAGGGGGAAAATTAGAGAGATGTCCTTGCTGTAGCTGCCTCAACAATGATTAAACTTGTCAATGCAATACATACTATTGTATTTCCTCTTTTTAAGCTTAAATATACAAATGTTAGGCGTTAATCATTATATGTAAAGACCAGAGGAGGAATCTACAGCTTATACATACTTTAAGAGACATGGAAATCAAACCTTTTACAATAGGAGACCTTTAGAAATACATGATGTGTAGCTGACCCTGTGTGCCTGCAGGCCGTCCAGCAGTAACTCAGCAGTCGGCATCTGTCTTGTGCCCAGCTTGTCCTTCAGTCTCTGAACCTCGATGCCCTTCAGTCGTCCATCCTCACCTCTGCTCACCTCTGCGTAGAACAACGACAAACCCCGGCTGCCCTGTAGGACAGAAACAGAGCACACAAACTAACTGTAAGGGCAATACATTCACTTTGTAAGTCATTGAGTGTATGGCTGATACTATGTCAGCATTACTGGTGTGGTAGCTCCTGATCTGTCCTGCTCTCTGGCCAGAGTCAGAGTCATGTCTGCGTCTGTTGCAGAGGTGAACCACTTGAAGCCGTGAAGTTTGTAAGAACCGTCCGCCTGGGGAGCAGCCACCGTCTCTGTGCCGCTGCCTGAGGAGAGGAAAGATGGGGAGAGGAAACTCACGAGGCATCACAACACAGGGCAGCAAAAAAGAACAGACTGTTACCTGGATTCATATGAATAATTTGCTCTGTGCTTAAAACATTTTCCAAACATGTTGGGATAATGTAAGAGAATACAACTCAAGGAAATATATGAAAAAGATCTTGTCATTTTTACACATTTGAATGCAGAATTTTAACACCACTAGGTACTTTAGTGTATAGTATGGTACTAGGTTTTAGGTACTTTATTCTACGTTGATAGAGTAACAATAAAATATCTAGTGTTTTTTTAATATTATATTCTAGCCTTTTGTATCTGCAAGCTGAAGCTGATATTGTTCATGTAAGACACTGATGAACATCAGTACTGACCCACGTCAGATCCTCCCTGTCTCTCCGTCATCCACTGTCCAGACGTCCAGAAACGCTCAGGCTGACGAGTGGTCAAACGACTGTAGGCTTCATCTACCGGCCATGAAACACCTATGGACTTCACATACACAACAAGAAAATCACTCAATATTTTACAAAAAAAAGGGAAAACATCAGGTTAAAACAAGAATTATGGATTAAATCTTGGACACAGCAACATATGTGGATTTTCCCTTCATCTTACATGTGCTTTTGTAAAAAAAACAACATGAAAAAAGGCTTTGTGTTTGCATAACTTAGGACACTTCCCATCAGCTATAATTGGCTTCTAAATTGTTTGTAAATGTAAGTATTGTAAACATAATTTAATAATTCAGTTTTATCTTGATTTTCTATCACACCTGGATGACTTTAGCAGCTCCGTCAGTCATGGCCAGAGGACAGGTGTAGAGACCAGAGGACGGAGAGAAGATGTACAACTTGCTCATTTGGTACACACGGCTGAAACACAAACACACACACAGAATAGATCTCAGGTTCTCATTAAAAACTTTTCTTATTATATAATGAATTAGCAAGTGAGCTAAAGTGAAAAGGGAAGTCTAACACTACCTCCACTCGCCGAATGACCTCTCATAGCCAATGGCGACCAGGCCTTCCTGTGCCGAGAGGTCTTTCATGCGTTTCCAGGCGGAGGAGGTCACGATGTGGTCAACTCTTCGCCCCCAGGGATCAAAGTGCACCAACCGTGGGGGGGTGATCTCACACTCTCTGCCCCACTCGTCCACCTCATTAGCCACACGCTCTCCAAATGCACACAAATCTGAAAAAGCTGCCTGTATACAAAAAGAGTAGATTATGGACAAGACCTAAAGACCTGAATTAAGTTTTACATGTATATCTACTCTGTCTGTTCTTACACTATTTTATAGTTTTTTACATTCGTTTTATGTGTTATTATGCTGCATTGTTGGAGGAGCCTGGGACTTAAGACTTCCATTGACATATCTACACTGTAGTTATTTTGCATATGACAATAAAGCCTTTGCATCTTGAAGTTAATTTTATAGAATATTTCCAGCTGTGGAAGGCCCAGCTGTGCGCTCTTCTCACCTCGTGTGGCAGGTGTCTCCTCAGGTATCCTCTCAGCAAAGCGTCCTCTAGAAACGGGTTCTTCAGAACGGGTCTTTCCTGGATGAAGGATCCTATCTTTGCTCTGGAGAACGGCAGGTTGCCTGTCTCCTCCCATAGTGGTTCCTCTTCAGATCTCCTTGTATCCGGCTCAGCTAACCTGGCTGATCTGATGTGGATGAGAGATGGAGGAACAGCACGCAGCGACCTGCAGCCGCCTCCAGCCACACGCCGGCTCAGGAGGGCTGAGCACACCGACATGGCTCAGGACCTGCAGGGTGAGGGGAGGAAATCTGACAGATAAAGTATGACAATATATACAATACATTTAATTTAGCTCACACTTTTATCCAAAGCAACTTACAATAAAGGCGTTGTGTTATTGCACAACATTGGGGTCGTATTCTTTGTCTCCTTTTGTTTTTTTTACATTATTTCACGTTAGTGTTATTCAATTTTAATACATTTCTTCCAAAAATAACAATACTTCAAAATGACCAAAACCTTTTAATTCAGTCAGTAATCATACACTCTCTGTTTTTTGTAATTAAAGGATAGGCCTACATGGCTCTGGCTTTAGTCTATATTTTATTTTTGTTATTATGCTATTCTTTGATTCTAAAATGACTTTTTATCTCATTATTTCGACTTTATTATCTCATAATTATGACTTTTTATCTCATTATTTTGACTTTCTTATCTCATAATTATGACTTTTTATCTCATAATTATGATTTTTATCTCATTATTATGACTTTTTATCTCTCATAATTATGACTTTTTATCTCATAATTTCCACTTTTTTATCTCATAATTATGACTTTTTATCTCATTATTATGACTTTTTATCTCATTATTATGACTTTTTATCTCATAATTTCGACTTGTTTATCTCATAATTATGACTTTACATGGGGATTTTATTTTTTTTCAAGTGGCGGAAATGGGCTTCCATATAAATGAAGCTTGAATTGATTTTTTTTTTTTTTTAACTAATACAAGAGAGCCGAAGAAGAAATCGATTCAAGAGATATCTAGAAGTGCCACATAGCCTACAGCAGAGGTGGGGAACCTCCGGCCTCCGGGCCGTATACGGCCCGCGAGAACATTTGGTACGGCCCTCGAGGTAATTTATAAACACACGCAAAAAAGAAAAAAATTCAAGAAATCTAGACCGCAAAATAACAAGCGATTGCCTGTTTTTCCTGGCCAAGGTCTTTGAACACAACACGAGCCTAACGTGTCATCACGTGGTATATGTCTAGTCTGACAGGGGTGTAGTTCTAACGGAGAGCACCATAAAGAAAAAAATCTGCTTACAGTTTTGTTTCATATGGATGTTGAGAGATGTATCCATAGATCTATTAATTTTACTCCCAAAGTGCACGAGATTGATGGTTTTAACTTCAACATTTAAAAAAAATCTTCCTGGTTATTTGCAAATTATGGTGGAAAATAAGTATTTGGTCAATAACAAAAGTTCATATCAATACTTTGTTATATACCCTTTGTTGGCAATGACAGAGGTCAAACGTCTCCCCCCCCCCCACTTAAATCATGTCCACATGGATATGAAACTAAATACATTTNAAAAGTACGAATCAGATTTAAAAGTTGTGTTTCACGAATAAGGTCAGAAAGATGTGTGACATTTTAAAGTTGGAATGAGGTTTGAGTGAAAGTATGAAGCCTTCATACTTTCACTCAAACCTCATTCCAACTTTAAAATGTCACACATCTTTCTGACCTTATTCGTGAAACACAACTTTTAAATCTGATTCGTACTTTTAGAGATATTAAACATTGTTCAGACCTTGGTAAAGAGGCCTTCTTCAGATTTTAGAGTGTGTGATGTCACAGCTAGAGTGGAGGACAGATTTAAATTTGCCTTCATATTTTCTTTTAAACCTGCCATAATTCCCAAACCCTACATTCCTGAGACATAATTTTTCATGAGAAACGTAGGAAAAAATCTCGTAGCTTGAAAAATAAAATAAAATAAAGCAAAAATAATTAAACAAAATGCCATGGAAACCTTTGATCTCTGGACACGTCGTTAGCTCAAATATAAACACCTGTGTCATGGAACACGATGATGTCATAACTCCAACTGACATGCTCAGAGCAGCAGACTTCAGATAATGGTTAATGGTCCTACCCTCAACAGCTCTACGTCAATTATGGGGTGTCATCATATGCCGTTTCCATGGAAATCCCTCGCCATAAAACACGATGTCGCTTTAACTCCAATGGACACGGTCCAATCGTCCCCCAAACTTTGCTTGTATATCACCGGTCCATGCCTCAACAGCTCCACGCCAAATCTGAGATCTCACCATAGGATGTTGCCATGGAAACGCATCCCTCGCCATAAAACACGATGTTGTCTTGATACCTATGCAAATGGCCTAAAACAGCAACAGACTTCAGATAATGGCTTCAAATGCTGTTGCCAAGGCAACACAATGCTCGCCATGAAACACGGTTTTCTCATAACTTCAATGAAAATGCTCCAAACAGCCCAAAACTTCACATGTTTGGTAACGATGCAGCCATCAACATATCTAAGCGTAATATGGGGTGTCATCAAATACCGTTGCCCTGGCGACAGATCATTCACCATCAAGTTAGTTCAATAGTTTGCAGTTCAAATATTCTGCTGCTTTTCCAAGCTTTTTTACTTTCTTTTCTTCTCTTATCACACATTCAAGCCTCCAGTGTTCATGTGTCATTTCAATCTAAATTCTTCACTTTCTTCTTACACATTACATTTCAGCATAGCAATTCAGCATCAGCTTTTCAGCATAAAGCATTCCCACTAGCAATTTCTTCAGGAATTGCATTCTCTAGTTCACACTCTTCTGCTTCTCCCCAGATTATATGGCTGCTCTTTTTGTTCGTCATTCTGGGACTCACAGCGTCTAAATTGTAAGTTTCTTTGTTTGCTATTGTAAATATGTGTCAGACAAGTTCCCCTTTACAGTATGTGTGTCATGCATGAAAGCCTAAATAATTAGCATTTGTTTCACCTATTGAGAGTGTAACCGACCTCATGTGCAGAGTGCACACACATTTACAGCCTCAGTGGGGTCAGCCTTATAGTCACATGGAAAAGAGTCACATGACTGTCGAGAGATTTTCTCCATTGTTTCACTTGAGTTGTGAGATTTCCTCAAAGGAGGAAGGACAATTTGTTCTCATTCAAACTTCACCCACTGAACCCAATGCAATTAAGTAACTGTAATGTGTCTTCTTTAATATAACATTTCAGGAAGAATATCGTGGAGAAATGATGAGATGCTTTTCATCTGTATTTGCTTTTCTTAGGATCAAACTCACTTGTTTTTTTACTGTTTCTTCCCAGTTTCTGTCCCAACCTGTCAGCCATCTGTACCAGTCTGCACCTCACTCACAACGTGGCCGTATCCTTTATCTACATCTACGGCACTTTCCTCACAAGTCAACACTTTGATATACAGTATTTATGTTTAACGAGTACAAAGCCATTCCATAAGAAGGATTATCCACCAACATACAGTAGACCAAGACCACATATTGTACCGGCGAAAATCAAACAAATCAAACAGAAAATGAACTCTGCTGAGGCACCCGTTAGCGAATCTCACGCAGGGGAAAGGATCCAAATCCAGGCAAGAATATGGGCATTTATTTCTGATGATCTTATATCACACAACAATAGTACAATTAACAGATGTTCTATATATTCATTTCCTGCAGCCTTTCCTATGGCTTTCCTTAGTCAGCCTGGTAAAAAAAAAGATATGCCTCTGCTGGTGAAATGATCCCACCACCACCTGTCTCCAATTTATACCGATCACCAGGTGCCTAAAACGGCCTTCAAAATAAAAGCATAAACACTTAAACACCTGTAAATAAATGTTAGAGTATTAAGAAATACAACATATATAAATAGCTCCAACAGAGATGGTTGTTGTTCCTCTCGTTACTTTAGATTACGAGACTTTATGTTGTTAAATTCATTATTTGTTGAGAACATGTTCCTTGACTGGCGTTTGTTCTGAGGGTGTGACGTTCCTCGCTCTTGGTAATGGTGCTCCGGACGTCTTTAGTGCTATGGCAGCGTTCTCTCACCCACACACTGCTGGACTGGCTGTCGGAGCCTTATTTGGTAGGCACATCTTCCGGCGCACACTGAAAACTCATCTCTTTCGACTCCACTTCGAGCGATAGAATTACTAACAAAGAATTGATAACAAAGCACTTATAAAGGACTGGCTTATCTAAAGCCAGTTGAGCAGCACTTGAAATGTTTTAGCTCTATGAAACCTGATGTACTTATATGATTCTGTTTTCTTCAAGTTTGTATCTTGTTGGTCGAATGCACTTTTTGTATGTCGCTTTGGATAAAAGCGTCAGATAAATGCAATGTAATGTAATGTAATGCACAGACACACACACACACACACACACACACACACACACACACACACACACACACACACACGCATGCACCATAGACAACTAAAGCTGTTTAATATGGAAACCTGGTTGATATGTCCCCCTCCACACACAGGAGCTGGTATATTTGTCACCACAGTGGTTGCCGGCAGCGTGGCGCTGGTCAAGCCTTTCACTGTGGCCTCCCGTCCATTTCTGCGGGACGTCATCTTCTACATGGTGGCTGTGTTTTGGACTTTCCTCATGTTGTACAGAGGAACCACCGCACTGGGAGAAACACTAGGTAAATACACAAACACACACAATGACACACATAGTGTTTATACGGATTGACAATGTTGCCTTCTTCCTCAGGGTGTTGCATATTGGTCCTTTTTTGGGAGGCATTTTTAACATGCACTTGGCTAATAATAAACAATCATCATTTTGTATGATTGAAATCACTTACTGGTTTCTGGGCTGCAAAGGTCCAAGGACATAGAGTGTCACATACTGTACGAATTGTAAAGCCTAATGACTTGACTTAAATAATATACTAAATGTAACACACTCCATGGTATTGGTGGACTTTACCGCCTCAGCTCTGCTTCAGAGCCATTTCTTTGTTTGTTTTGGTAACCCGTTAACACATTCAGTGAGGCATAAGCCACATTTAGGCCAGAAAAAAAGTGAAGTTCCTCCTTTGTGAATGTAGTTGTGCATGCAAAGTGTGTGCATGCAAGTGTTTTCTTGTTACCGTGCCAACATCTGCAATCTCATCTATTTTCTGACCAAATCTAACTCAGATTGCAGTTCAGATTCACTCAGCCGTGACTGACTGTTTCTATGAAGTCTCTGGAGGAGTATTTTAAAAATATTTGTATCAGAGGTCCTTTTTTGCCAAGGACCCCTAACAATATAGAGAATATTCAGGGACCCCATATCAGGAACACTTGAGAAATGAATAACATTGATGTATTTCTGCATTTAAAATGTATGTGCAGATTTTTTTGATCAAAATGTGATCTGAGCTATGATCGATTTAAAAATGTAAATATAAGTTGAGCTTTAAAGCCTTTTGTTAAAAGCCCTATATTAGGAGTTTTAAGAGCAGTTTCACTTCAGTCTTTCAGTATGATCTTCACTTTGCTTCATTTCCTTTTTCCTAGGGTACCTTGGCCTCTATGTGGTGTACGTGTTGATAGTTATTATCAGCGCGTACATCTACAACCGACAGAAACATTTGATTAACTCCAGTGTGCAAAGTACTGCACAAATTCCAGGTTAGAAACACAAATACATTTACAGCCACATCAAAATAAAAAATACATTTACACATTTCCCCATTGATGATATGTTTTGTCTTTGCAGCAGAGTTTCACTCGTCTGACTCGTCTGATGATGACGTTCCCTGCCTGAATGGAGGAACCGTCCAACAGGAGTACGGTAGGAATGCAACACGACAATTTAAGTTAATACACACCAGGATTTATTTTGCATGATCAGGACCATAAGCTGCACGTGCATGTGTGTTTCAGAGTCAGAGTACAGGCCACTTCTGCCCTACTCCGAGTCCACGAGTCAGATCCTGCTGAGCTCCATGAACCCGGTGGACAGCAGGAAGTGGAGGAGAAAAACCTGGAGCTGGAGGGCTCTCAAAATACTGAAGGTGGGTGGGCTGTGAAGCTCAATGTCTGAATGAATCTTGCTAGTACTATAGGAGCCACATGTAAAGTATTTTCTGTGTTTGTTACGTCATATTTTTTGAGTCACTATAGGTGGTGGGCGTGTCTATTGGATTTGGGTGGTGACGTTTGAGGTTTTATCCGGTTGCTCTTACCTGCGCACTTTGTCATAGATGGAGGGGGATTGAGCTGGGGAAGGACAATTTTTGTACGCAATCACATTCTCGATATGGACTAGAAACAATTGTATGTTTGCTTGTTTCGTTTGCAAATAAAAGGTCAAACGCATACCAGTGGAAAGACTGTTTTCTTGCACGTCAGACAATGTTTTTCTCTTGTTTAGTCCCTCGTTGCCCTTTTTTTGGATTACTAGAGCCACAACAAGTACACCAAGTCAAATGAGTGAAAGTCTATTCAAAACTCTACTGTCTCATCAGACGCCCCTAGAGGTGGTGCTGCTGCTCTGCGTCCCTGTGGTCGACCCCGATAAAGAAGACAGGAACTGGAGACGCCCGCTGAACTGCCTCCATCTGACCACCGCTCCTCTGGCCTGTCTGCTCACCTTCCAGTCTGGGGCCTGTAAGAGCAGCATGACACACTGACGCAGCCATAATAAGATCAAATATACGGTTAAATCATTAGCCTGCCATTGTAGTTTTGTTTATTGAAGTCTTCATGTGTTCCTCAACTAATGTCTAGATGCAGATTATATGATCCAAGGGCAGTTTCCCGTCTGGCTGCTGATGCTCCTGCTGGGATTCTTCCTGTCTGCCATCGCCTTCTGCACCACCACTAATGACTCCCCTCCCAAATATCATTCAGTAAGTATTTGTTGAGATTAGAAAAGGAGCTAGCAATCTCCAAATATACAGGATATGAAGCTTTTTTTAGGGTTAATTAGTGCCACCTTCAGGTCAGGTCTCAAATGTTAATAACTTTAACACAGTTTGTCTGCTCTGTGAGTCTCAGTGCTACACAACTAAATGCTAACATCCCCACAAGCTAATATTAAAATGATATGTTCACAATGTTCAGCAGCATTGTTTAAATGGTCAGCATGCTAGCTTTTGCTAACGAGCACTTCAAACGAAGGACAGTTGAGGCTAACAGGCATGTTGTTGAGTTTTGCAGGAATTTTTCATAACCCCAAACTATTTATATTAAACATTCTGGCAATACATTTGTTAGTTGTTGAGATATTTCAGGCTGGTTCACAGTGGTTGACTGAACGAAATGCCATCCCTATAGCCATGTTGCTAGCAAGGCTTAAAATAAATGCAGTGTATTCATCACAACTTATTTATCATCAGAGTACATTTTTTCTTTTTCAGATTGGATAAATGTAGGGTTTTATCCATGGTTGTGTTTCTCTTCTCCAGCTGTTTTCTCTGCTGGGCTTCCTGGTGAGTGCGTTGTTGATCAGCGCAGCCGCCTCAGAAGTGGTCAGTCTTCTGCACATGCTCGGTGTGGTGCTGAGTCTCAGCAACACCGTGCTGGGACTCACTCTGTTGGCCTGGGGCAACAGCGTAGGAGGTGAAACTCATTGTTGTTTACTAAAATATGAGTGTACTTTAAACTTTTAGCACATAATGTATAACTTCTTCTTTTTTTCAGACTGTTTTTCTGACATCACCATCGCCCGGCAGGGTTACCCACGGATGGCCATTTCTGCCTGCTTTGGAGGCATCATTTTCAGTATCCTTTTTTATAAAAGAGATCGTCTATCAGAGCCGTGGGAAGTAGGGGTGCTGCAGCACCCCCTGGTGGAGGACAGGGGATCTGCACTTCCACAAGATTAAACCGAATTTTCAGCCTTGATGTAACAACATTCATAATTAAGTACAGATAACACCCTTTTTACCCCGGTTACATTTTCCATTTGCCCTGTACGATGGGCACTGTAAGTGATGGAAGTGGGGGATGTTGGCTTATCAGGCGCCCGCAGCTCACAGCCAGCGTGAGAGAGAGAGAGATAGATAGATAGACAGAGAGAGGGGGTGCACCGGTACTGGCAGGGATTGTTGTTAGCTTCTGCTGCGCTAACGGATATAAGAAGCTGTTTCTACAATAATGTGGAGGGAGAGTTCTGTCTTGTCAGACTGAGAGGCTCAGTGAGGTAAAGGACTCTGAGGGTTTAGATAGTTCACTTTAGTCTAAGTTGTCTCAGTGGGTCTCAAACGTTTTGATCACAATTGATGTAAACAAATATTTCCAAGGCACACCTTTATAATTATTAGGATAAATAAAAACAGATTGCTGTTGCGTGTGTATACTATACAGTACAATACTAAACATATTGTTTAAAACTGGAGAGATTTAAAAATATGCATAAATAAATGTTAACTGGTAAAAGAAGATATAAATGAACCACAAAAATAAAATAAATTAGCCTACATTTATTTGTTATTGGCTATGGTAGGTTATTGGTTATGTTCACATACTTATTTGATTAATAAAATGTAAACAGATCTTTTTCATATGGGTGTTTTAGAGTTGTACCCCCTAGATCAGTCTCTAGTAATTGGGCGCTCAAAGTGCACCAGATTGAAGCATTTTACTTTAAAATGTTAAAAAAATCTTCCCGGGGAGGCACCCCCGGACCCTCCTAGAGGATGTGAAGTCAACCCCCCAATTAAAACATGTTCATGCAATACTAAATACATTTGAAGCCTTTTTATATAAGCTGTCCACCATGTCAATATGTTTCTCTGTTTGTAGTGTATTGGTCATAGAGGTTTTTCATTGCCAGCTAAAATCTTGCCGGGCAGCAAATTGGTCAGAACCGGCCCTGGTGTCATCCCCACAGCACCCCCCATTTGAAACATGTTCCCACGGCTATGTCGTCTATCAATCTAAAGACATCACATACAGTATGTGTAAAGATGGTTGGGAATAAATGCTCCTTGACTGTTTTCCCTTCAGACATGCTGCTTGGAGTTGGTTTAGGAGGTCTGATGCAGATGGTCGAAACACACAATGATGTGCAGGTAATCACAGGAGTTCATAGTTGTGGTTTTTTAACACAAACCATTAAGATGCAAAGACTTTCTATTGGATCTAACAACCTTTGTCTCTTTCTCCTCCTCAGTTTGAAACCGATGGTTTGACGTGGGTTCTTGCAGCATCGCTGGGTTTGTCTTTGGTTCTGTCCTTCGTCATCGTTCCTATGAGCCGGTTCCACTTGGGTCGAAACTACGGGATATTTCTCCTCGTCTTCTACGCGATCTTCCTTATCATTGCGCTGCTTACAGAGTTTGGAAAGATACACTTTGTGTAGATCTGACTACACAATGCCCTTCAGTAAAGCAAAATGACACACTGGAACAGATTCAGCCTCTGCCGGGCATAATGTGACATCTGTATTCATTCAACAACAGAAACCTGCACATGCCAAACTGACAAATCAATAAGACTGAGACTTCTCTGCTCAGGGAGAGCTGAAATTATTACACTGTGCCTTTATTAAACGTTGTGTTTGTGCTGACTGGATCTCGCACTTTGGGAGTCCAGAATGAAAACACAAGTTGTAAAAATGTATACTTTCAAACATTGTGAATTTGTCAAATATACTGAGAATCAAAATGTTAAAATGACCTTGTACAAAACTGCTTTACGGGCATTAAATAATTTTGGTTTGGTATTTGTTTTACAGGTCGTGGTAATGCTATGCTGGTCTGTGTTATATGATACATTGTAGGTCAATTAGCAGTTACCAGCCATATGATAGTACAGCAAAAATACATAAATGCACATAACAACTCAAACAAAATCCCTTCTTACTAACTGAAACACATCACAGAATAAGGAGTTATAGAAAAGTAAAACACTTTGAAGCCGTTTAACATTAGTTAGGAGATACACTGTTATTGTTGCATTGGGTTGAGCTAAGAGGATTGTTTGTACTTTTGGTCTTAAGAGAACTTAAATGTAGTGTCTGTTGATACTGATCAGAGGAGCCACTTAACTAAGGCATCGGGGTTTAAGCACTACAGGATTTTCAGGAGGTCACAAATGGCCTTCAGCAGTATACGTAATATCAGTCTTTGAAAAGGACATCAACGCTTCAATGGTCCAGCACTGCTGTCTTTCTGTCTTTAGTGACACGTCTTCATCAACTCGTCTCCCTCTCACGACAGTCCAAAAGGCCCCGGACTAGTTTCCCACTGTGGCAAATAGAGAGAGTGGGGGAACTGGAGAAGTCCTGGAGTGATGGGAGCTCCTCTGCATTTAAAAACACTGAGATGGTGCTGTGTATGTACAGTACTGCTTGCTAACTATGTGTTAGTTGACGCTGTGAAGTCCAGTCTGTGCATTGAGCTGAGGCTCGGGGAAGGAACACGGGTCAGAGACGGGACGGTCCAGATCCTGACCCGGGCTTTGGTCCAGATCCTGACCCGGGCTTTGGTCCAGCTCAGGCAGGTTTTCCCTCGAATACTCTGCATACCACTCTTGCTGAAACGAGACGTACAGAAGGTAAGGAGATTGTTTTGGTTAGAAAAGTTCCCTACATAGTGAATTGGTTAATTTTTGTATCTCTTTTAGCATAGGGTCCAGTGGCCCATCGTTTATGAAAGATAATTCTGTCCCACAATTCCTTGTAGCAGCAACATTTGAACGGAGATGGCAGACCAAAGTCTATAACGACTGTCTCATAATCACGTAGCCTAGTGTAAGTGCAGTCAGATTACTAACACCACTTCTCCTGAATCCTTATGATTTCTCCTTTATGTCATTCCTTAGCCTCATTACATTTTCCATTGAGCTAAAAGAAAGTTGGTAAGGAAAAGCAATGGGACACAGTTTTTCATCTGAATTATTTCTTCAGTTTCTTACCTGTATCTCCTCCTCGTACATTTTCATGCTTAGGTCACTCTTGGTCCTAGACCTGCGGCCCAGGTACACCAGAGACGTATGCTGTGCACAGCAAAGCAGGAGGGAGGGCTGGTTAGTGGGACTTCATGTGAGGAGAAGGAGTAAACCGTGTGTGTGTGTGTTTTCTTACCCCTCCCCTGTCCATGGCCTGTAGGACTCCCTGTAGAGAGCTGAGGGAGGACAGTCCTGGGCACGTCTGTTTGAAAAGCTCCAGAGTGGCCAGAGCCTCATCCCGACTCACCTCGACTTCAAACACTATCCCGTTTTCATCTAAAGAAATAAGAGCACACACAGACAGAATGACTCACTTTCATTGGGAAGGTTTTTGTTCAGAACAAAACATAAATTATCTTGCTTTGAATCTATTTATTGTACTATGTTTTTTAGTTTATGTTGTATATTTGTAAACACTTGTCTTTATTATTTTTAATGCTGAATAGGTTTTTTTATATTTTCTTTTTAGAATCGTTATATTTTCAACCTTCTCTTACAACTTATTTTCTTATGTTGTTTATGTTTCCAACATCGTACACCAAAGAAAATTCCTTGTACATGTAAACGTACGCGGCAAAAAACTTGATTCAGATTTGCCATGCAGGAGTTCCTTCCTTTGGCATATTTCCCAAAACATCAGGGAGGGTAGGATAGCTCTGCATCTCTCTCTATGTCCTGACAGGCTCCATACATTTGGCGCCATGTTATTGTTTTTGATTGGTTCTCTTATTTCAATTTGCGCCAGCCTCTCACCCTCTGGGTTCTCCACTGGTTCCCGGTTCTTGCGGCTGTAGTTCATGCGGAACACAAACGCATCCAGAATGAACGCTACGATGATGGTCATCACCACCTGGAGAAAATCAAAATGACAATCATTCACAGTCACACTGACGCACAGATAAAAGCAGAAATGCAGTGTTTACTTCCAGACACAAATCACAAACACAAATCACTACACTCACCATGGTAACTATGTAAAAGGTCATGAAGTAGAGCCGGCTCCAGTGCGTCGTCATAGAAGTGACTCCTTCCTGTGGGAGAGAGAAACACACTCTGATCAATGACAAGGCTGCAGAGTGGGGTCGGATGAAAGACCACCAATACATGACTTCATCTTACCATTGTAATGTACCAGTTGTTGACCACAGTCAATTCAAAAAGAGTCACTGGAGAAAAAAAAACGAAGAGGAAGAAATAAATTAGATAACTGGAAAATGTACAAATCTAAATAAATATTACTGATCCCGTTTTTGAGAAGAATTGTTAATGTCACAGCAGCTTAGAGCAAATACAACAAAGATAATAAGCACAAACTATACAGTCCGCATCAACTAAAGGTTCAAAGAAATGGAAATGATTGAGGTTTCTTATATTTAAGTGATGTGTCTTCGGTCATCTGTAGGAACGAATGAGCTGCATGAAGCACAGACAGACGGGAAGTTGTAAAGTACCGATGGACTAACGCACATTCATGGGATTCCTTAACGATACCAACAAAGAATATCTCCAGCATTTTTTAAGTAAAATTACCAAAGCTGCTGAGAATGTTGTTGAAGTTGTTGAGATAATAGTAGCCTTCTTGCAACACTGTTTTGTTGCCAATCGTGACGTTTCTCATTCTGTAGGACTCTGCCACTGTGCTGGTGCTGAGAAAAGAAAAACTAATTTATCCTCTTGAGCCAGCAGGTATGAAAACATGCAGAAGATCAAAGTTACTGCCTATTTATCCAAATCTCCCAATGTGGATACAACTGAAAAATGACTTGCAGTTACTCGACTCACTTGCAGCAGTTGGGGTAAACCACATCTGCAAAGAACTCCATCCCAACAATCGCAAAGGAGTAGTAGAAGATAATTAATGTCAACCCCAGACTGGCCATCCTGGGAAAGAGCTCGAACATGGTGTCCAACACATTACGATACCGCTGCTTTATCTTAAACAACCTGAGAAAGACAACAGACCAACAGTTTAACATAAAGAAAAACTGTGAAATATAAGTTCATAATACTCTTAAGAAATAAAAGCGTACCGGAGCAGCTGAAGTGGTCTGAGGACTACGATGAAGTAAAACGGCTCCATATCAAAGGCAAGAGCAATCAGACCGAGGAAGGCAAACAACGTCACAGTGAAGTCAAACCTGGACATGCATCACAGTGAGCATTAATGTCAAAAACACACAAAACCAGGACATTTAAAATACATTTAAGTTGTGTTTTCACTAAATATCCACATTAAAGGCACAGTGAGAAAGATGTGTAGGTTGCAGTTTGTAAACACTTAAACTTGGCTCACATGTTTTTATGGGCAGTGTCCACCATCTGCTTAGCTTCTTCTTGGAAGCGCGTTTAAGATATAGCACCAGGTTAATTCTTTTTTTTTTTTAAGAGGTTGAAACCAAGACATTTCCGGAACACAGCAACATAAAAAGAGAAAAGTGGAGGGGGAGTATTTAAATCTATAAATTGTATTTCAAATCCTTCTCATTGTGCCTTTAAAGTTTCAGTTAGAGTACTGAATCCAAATGTACATATATATATTCTTATGCTCGCTGTGGAGCTGGGCATAACCTGTCTACAATTCTGACCTTTATGGATTCAGTACTCTCTGAATATGTAAATCAATCAACCCAGTATCCAAGTTATTACTCACAGATTCCACCCAGAGCTGATATAAGCCATCGGCCCCAAACCAGTTATTTTCAACAACACCTCTACACCATAAACTAAAAATGGAAAGACAGAAGCAGAGTTAATATTAGTGTAAGTGAATGTAAACAACTTTCATTCTTGACACCCTCTATGACCAATTCATTAGTATATGATACTTTTCTGTGTGGGTGGGAAACTGCACACAGTGTACTCACTGGTTAGAAAAACAATGTAACTCCAGGGAACAAATCTGGACCAGGAGAATCCACCTGCATGAGGACAGGAAGATGAGTGATCTGTAGTTCAAAAGACTTTGCTTCAGTCCTCTGTGTTTATCATCAGGAAAGATCTTACTATTCAGTGAGTATGTCTCCACGAGGATCCATACGCCATTGATGGCCACCACCACACCTGCAGCAAGAGGGAAGATAAAACAAGTTTATGATTAGAGACTTTGCATCGATATCTCTGGGACCAGCTGGGAGAATGTAAATGATATCACTTACACATGGCGTATTGAAAGGCCTTCGACTTCACGAGCAGGTTGATACCTAGTGACGTAAAGAAGAAAGGGCTGAGAGTAAGAACTTAAGACACAGGTTTGTTGGTCTGATAAACAGAAGAAGAACAGGAGGAAAAGAGACTTGCCTTTGAAAATGAGGAAGGTCGTGTGTGGAAGATCATCAAACCAATGTTCTCCACTGCGTCGTGCCTAGAACACACCCATAGCTTCACATTTAAAAAGTACAAAAACAACAAAAAGAGTGAAATATAAATGCACATATGTAAGGATACTCACCTTCCATTTAAGGCCAGTGACCTCATAGAACTTATAAAAGTCCTGTAGACTGAAGCAGAACAGACAGGAAATATAACTTAACAGGTGAAGATCTACCAATGGCCACAAGGAGGGGCTATTGGTGCCATGCTTCAATATGTCATTCTGTTGGACAACCGTTTACCAAGTTTCATTTGATTCAAATCCAATCATCATGTTTAAAAGTAAGTGTAGCACAGTCTGTGGATACATATGTGTAAGCGGTCACACACTTGTGCATGTGGCTGAGAGTAAAACATTAATATTGAGGAGCATTCACATTTGTATTTGGTTTGTTTGAGGCAGTT